TTAATAAACCAATAATCATCAGAAAATGAAAAAAGTTTATGAACTTCATTCAAGTTACACAAACAACTCTCCAGAATTGAAAAATGAAAGTAGTTTATAGAACGATGCCGTATTCATCAGAAAGTTCCAACTCGAATGAATTGAGTACAAATCAAATCATTCAATTCAATTCGATTTGTTCAAAACTTATTCATAACCTTGATTCTGTCTCTGGTATCGATTGATTGATAGACAAGCATACACCAAAATCTAACGACAGTACTTCAATTTATTCAATCAATTCATTCAAAGCATTGACTCATACCCCAAATTTAACTCATCCACTTCATTTCATCAGTTGATTCAATCAAACTCCAAGATCAAGCGCACATGGAACGACTCCTACTAATTGTTTAATTCAATTGGCACCATATTGAACTTGCATCTTGTCACTCTTGAGATAAGATAATCGAAGAACCATTGACACAAATTGATTGTAGTTAATCCGCCACACTCACATCATCAAGAATTCAAGCATTCAGAAACCCTGTACTGAACAAAACAAGGGTGCATAATTAAGTCTATCAATTGTCTAACTCTTCAAAGGCTGTTTCTTTTTAGGTCGCACTCAAGGTATAAGAGAAGATATGGCTGTAAAATATGGATCGGTATCTTTGAGCAGGTGATACTCTTCCTCTTATTCAGCTAATCAGAACTCTTAAGTCAAACTTGGACATTCAATCTGTATGTCTGTAGACAAGGTTTTCTCTTCAAGTGTCAATTAAGATGATTGTATTTAAGATTAGAAATCCAAACAACAATACAAACTGATTGTATTTTGATTCACTTCATGGCCATTTGGATAGCATGTTAGACAACTGAATCAATCAGATCAATTATGATCAAGAGGAAATTGCCCAGCTATGGTAAGTTGAAGTCAAAGCAGGAGCATTTTTATTAACAAAGGCAGTGTTATAATGAGTACACCAATGAGTAGCATGTTATAGTCAATACACTTTGAGGTCTATCAAGCTTTAACAAGGTTTTCCTCAAGATTACAACTTCAAATTCATAATAAGTTTTGCTTTGATTTGATTTTCATTGAGTTAGATTTAGAACCTGTTTTATGATCATTCTGAGACACTAGGCCCAAATCACTGTGCATCAATATGAGAATATGCACAAGAGTTGAAGTCTAAAGGAGGGGTGATCCTGGTGCTTATTTGTTTTATCAACAGCATACAAACTGAAGGTGACTGACACCAGTCAACAGTGCATTTAATCAAATTGATTTATATGTGCTTGAAAGTGTGACAAATTGAAATTCTTTTGGGATTGGAGAAAATCTCCGGAAGTTGTTATACCCCAACATAAGTTTGAATTTCAGGAAGAGTTTTCAAAGAATTCAAGATGAGCCAAGTATGAATTGTTTCCTCTCCAAGATGATCATCTCAAGTTGATCAAATTCAACAAAATTTAACTGACCCTTCAGATTTGTGGAGGTGAATTATCATTCACACATTAGGTGTAATCTCTTCACAAACACCTCACCTGCCGGCATATGTTCTCACATTGGGAATGGATATACTTTGTGATTTTATCTAAATTGCCTCTTAAATTGTTATTGTGCAAGATCTTGGACATGTCTTTAATGATGGCAGACCAAACATGGAACTCAGGTTGATTTTCAATATCATCAACTGGGTCATATGATTACAACTAGACAATAAGTACCTTTGAATGTGCAACTACACCAACATACAATAGAGTTGATGTTGAATCTACATTTCAAAATATCTTCTATGATCAACTGTGTTTGTCATCCTGTGTTTCAATTTCAAAGCTAATCAAACCATTGTCATTCCAGATACCCTACCACAAGATGACAGTTTTTTGATTCTTTTCCCTTCTTCAATCAAAGTTGTATTTATGAGTGAAAATGTATTGCAGAGTATCAATGCGATTGTGATTGTGACCTACATGATGAAATGATTCATAAAGACTGACTGAGTCCTGTGAGGTAGTTACAGGAGATAAAACTATGAACTCAGACATTGATCAGCAAGCACTTGAATATGATATTGTGAATGCAATTGTATGGTGGGGTCAAACTTGATGTGACCAAATAGAGATCACAATATACATTGAGTGGGTGTCGTGTGAATAATTATTTTGTTTTGACACCATGAAGGTATGAATGACCATTGGTATGTAGGAATTTGTTTCTGACTACCACTGTTCATGGAGGTAGCAGCAAGGGTTTCATAAAGAGTAAATTCTCATCTTCCCTAAAATCAAGGGTTTTGACATGGTAATCTAACTCATAGAACTGAAGAAGAGAAAACTTAGTTTGGAATTGTTGGAGTCTATCAGGTTAGGGGTTTGGAGAGTCAGGCTTAGGGGTAGATACATTCTTTCACACAGGTTGCGCAATGTAGTCATGTCTTTGCACTCTCCAAAAAATCATCACCCTATAGCCAAGGTCAGAAACAAATTCCACACAAAGTTGCCATCCTGAGAAACCCCATTGATGACCAAACAATGTTTCCCACCTCCACCATTGCAATTACTCTGCCCACTGCTTTATTGCATTTACCCCTGGCAAAACATTGTGTATTGTTATCAAAATGTGAACCTCTTCCTTTACATGGAATCATGAGCATCCATGGAAACTTCAGTTTCAATACACACTTGGTGCAGAGAGGTACAAAGCATCAGATGTAGAAAAAGGCAAGGGGCAAAGTACAGTTTTGGATGCTCTGCAACATCTGTTGATATCCTTACTACCAATTTTTTATGATCATATATTGTGGACCACTCACTTTGGCATCTATAGTGCCAACCAGACCTGTCATGTGAAAGGGCATGAGATGATGTACAACCTCAAGAGGTGTTCCTGCATTTCTTATCGGTGACACCAATTCCGATGTTGAATTTGATTGTTAATCAATATTATGTTGGGTGTTTTTGGTCACATATTGCTATATAATCAGAGTTAACTGTCATTAATGTGGACAACTACACCCAGCATGAGAGTCTTATAGCCAATATTCATGTCTTATCACTAGGAATATTCTTGAACTAAAGTTGGCAATAATTAATTCATTCTTGAATTATAACAAGTGAGATACAACATAACATACATGGTAGGCAAGGACAACCAATTTATGAATGGTATTGATAGGAATTTCAGTGCGGCGCCTGCCGCCCAATTGTGCTAGTGTGCTTTGAAACGCAAAGAAGCAAATTAGAATATCAACTTTGAAAGAAGTTGAAGATAGTGGGTATTGAGAAATCCAAAGAATCAATACACTCTTTTCAAAAAGATCAACATGCATTGGGTGATGATAAGGTGCAGAGAGTTAAAAGTAATGTAAACAATATCAATTGTTCAAACATAAACCATTCTGGCAGACTAATCAAAGACATGGTGGGGGACTTTGACAATTGAATAATCATTGAGTTGATGTGATTTCAGCGTTGGGTGGTGGCAGTGCACAAGATATTCTTCAACATAATCTCTCCAAGGGTATGCATTTCCCTACATGGAAAGTTTTTTATGGGAGAAAGCTGCCGGTTTTGAAAAATATACCAGGTGTTTTGTTTTCATCCAAGACCTATTGTGTTTCTGATGGTAATCCAATTAATTTAATCTTGTTATTTCCTAGTCTTGGAATATCAACAAATGCTCAGAGTTTTTGATTGAATCAAATGCCTCATCATCAATTCACTCTTTGGTGGTCACCTACTATCAATCAAGAAAATGTTTATGTGGATTTCAAATTCAATTAAATATGACTGAAATCTTCTTGCATGGAAAAATTCTGGCACCCAAGATTTTATTGATTTGTTGCTTCAGGGCCCATTTGTAGCAACATATTCACAAGAACAGTCATTGTTCTTACAAACAGTACTAATGACACTATGGGTACCTCCAATGTTACCAACCTTGATCATCCCAGTTTGTATCCTCACATCACCATACCAGCCACACTACAAATCATCAGTGCAGAGGACTTGTGTGATGAATAGCTGTTGTAGCTAGTCAATTGAAAAAAATTGTTTTCTTGTTGCCACTTTTATTTTTTTTGTGCCTCTTGCGCCCTTCAACTCCCCCAGCCAAAAATGGGGGCTCCCAGCCCCCCCTGGGCGCATCCAGGTGCTACTTTTTTCAAAAATCATGCCCGTCACATGAATCACAATAGGGATTGGGAAATATTTTGACCAACTAGTTTTGCGCCTCTGAGATGCATCCCAAAAGGGGTTGAAGATGGTGGAGAACAAGTTTTCTGGGTTTCACAGAGCTGTTACGGATCTGAGCTCAGAGCCGAGAGTGTTTAGGCAATACCCAGGCAAGCTTTTGCCAGAATAGAAGGGTTAGGGGATATGTGAAAGGTGCAAAAGGGGTGTTTTCATGGCTTGTACTGCAAGCCCAGCGGCGCAAATTGCTTTTCCCTGTAAGCCTTTTGAATGGGTGAAGCTTTGGAGTTCTGAAGAAACACTTTGTACTGGTCTGTATGTTTGCAAACCAAAAAGATTGATAAAAGTTTTGGTTGGTTAAGAGTGGCTTTGATATTGCTTTCTAGTGATCTCAAAAGGATTCTTAAGTCATTGAACTACAACTGAATGGGTTTTGCAAACCGGTTGGTCAAAATTTTGCCAAACCCCTAATATCTGTCGCTTCTACCTTTTGACCAACTGCAGCTGCTTCCGGCTAGAGGGTGACTGAAGTATCAATTGCTTTTTCATTGTCTAGAATATTTCTGATAGAGTTCTTGAATGAAAGACTCCTCAAGGTGACTTAGTCAAAGATTGAATTCACCCTCAACTTCATCAAGTTGGTTCACTTTTGATCTGTATCCAGGCTCTCAACTTGGAGAATTTGACTCCAAGATTGGTGGTGAATACTGTGTCTTGTAAGTTGACAAATGGTACTCAACTGCAGATGTTGTGTGAAAATTCAACTGATGGATTCCAAGTTGAGAGAAACATGGTGAAGGCAGGTGAAAAATCAGTCTTGATTACCTAGTTGGATCAGCACACGTCCACCTGCTCATTGTACATAGCTCTTTATTCAAAACAGGATTGAGAATTGGATCAAGATATTTGACGCCTTGGATCAACATTGGTATACCAAATCCCAATGCACTTTCCCAGTTTTTGACAAATCCTTTGTCTAAAAAGCTAGTCACTGTTATCTTCCATGTCAGTATTTGTTCATCAAGAAGATTGTTGCTTGACCGTTCACCACTGGGTAAGGTAAGGAGTTTGTTGTCATCCAGAACACTTCAAAATCAAAAAAATCCCTGCTCACCTGCTCAAGTTCTGCACCCATTCAGGATTCACATCACTGTCAAAGATGACACAATGTCTCTTGTCATCTTCATCACACACGTTATCAACAATCTTACGTAAAATATGTGTGGAAAGACCTTTATTCCATTTATGCCTGGTGGGATCAAGAGTTTCATATAAGGCATCTTTGGAAATTGCCTTAGGATCAATGAGATGAGAAATTCACGGCATTCAAACTCACAATGATTGTGCAAGTGTTTACCTTTGTCAGAGAATGAAGACAAACAAGAAAGTACTTACGCAGCATGCGGGTTGGTCCTCAATGTCTTTCCAACCAAATCCACATTGACGTTAGGATTGCTAGATGCATCACGGGGACCGTGCTGAATGTTCTGGATTAGTTTTGAGACAGCACTCAAATTTATTATTCTTCTCTTTGAGTCATGATGCTCAAAGTCCATTCTTAGTTGATCTTTCAGCTTGGCTTGGAGTAGCTAGACCTGTTCAAAGAGGTATGAAGGTGGTTCCATATTTATGGTTCCTTTGCATCTTGCTCATGAAATCATGATTGTAAGATAATCCGCTCACCATCTATTGATTTGAGACAAACATGTTGATTTGGCGGAAAATGGTAGAAAGGATGTAAACAATGAGGGTCGTGATAGAAACAGCCATTTCAAATTGTTTCAGCAGAAGGGGCTTTTTTGAGTGGACGGAAGGCCCGGTTGTTTTGTCCATTTCTGGTTGGTGTACATCACAGTGCAGATGCTGCCAAAGGACGGTGAGAAAGATTGTGTACCAATATAATCTCCATCTACTCCTCTATGGGAGTGTGACTCGGAGCTCAAGCTCATTGTGGGTTTCTAGGACGGCGTTGTCGGACCTCAACTCGAATCCCTCCACCCGCGTCCTTACTAGGCTGTTTGGATAGTCTAGGAAGGAGGTGAGTGGGTTGGGGGGGCCCCTCGGGGCCTCTCTCGGGGCTTCAACTAGACCCTCAAGGATAAAGTATCCTTTGTGTCATCCAGCAGAAGTGAGAGGCCTGAGAGCATCCACTATGGGTGCGTTAACAATGTGATTTAGCGTTAGAATAACGCTAAAATCCAGACAGGTCTACTATGGACCTGTTTTAGACATGCGGTCCGTACGACTGCGTCAAATCTTGCACTCCCCTTGTTCAAATCTACGCAAGCCTACGACTTGATTTATCGTAGACTTTTGGCACATCAAATCGGTCAACAGCCATCAAATGATCTATCTGTATCCATCCCACTCTGCACTCACCACCTTCAATCAAAATCTTCCCTCGTCCCTCAAAATCACAGCTTGTTGATGGTAGCTGTTTACTCTGAATTTGCTAAAAAAAACGCATTTTGTTTTAAAAAAAAGTGATTCCGTGCGATTGATTTCACCAAGATCGAGCAAGATGTGAGAAAGCTCGATGCTCATTGTCAACACCTGAAGCCATCATTTTGGTTCTTTCTGGCTACCAAGGTAGTCATCATCATAGAAGTGAGCTGGGTGAGGCGTGGTAAGATACTTCAATTCGAGTCTCGACTTTGCCATAGCGTGTATAGTGTTCTAAGAACAGATTATCGTAGTTAAATCCTACGTTACATCATCCCATAGTGGATTTCATGCGGTTAACAACTTAGCTACAACACGCATGATTAAATTTTGCGATCAGGACCGCAAAATTTACGATAAAACACCCTCAACATAGTGGATGCTCTGAGGGGGGGATTCCTACCGGCGCTGAGGACGGGAGCTGTCAGACCCCTTCCTCTGGGCAGCGTGACCAGAGCTCTGACAAGCACCCCTTCCTCTGGGCTCGGTGCCCCCTAGTCTTGATCAACGTTTATGTACTCACTTATAACGTTTATGTATCACTCACTTACTCTCATGAGTTCACATGCACTGCAATTAACGTTTGTGTACTCCTGTATTTCTACTGTTTAATTCAGAGGCACTGAACGGAACATCAATTTGGATCTACATCAGATTTACATTTGAATCAAACTTTGTGTGTTGACTTGTAAATTTCGCACTACTTCTTCTAATTCATAGCTATTCTTTCAGGCTGCACAGCGTGTCGATTGTGTCTCTCTGTGTTTCATTTGAATACTCCTTTATGTACCGTTTGTACGAGCTTCCAGCCCATCTTCCTTGTTTCTTTATCGCTTCAACCAAAGAACCATGAAAATTTAACAGTGATGCCCCTCCTACTCGGAAAGAGTGGCCGGTTGGGCCTTCTGATTTATAACGTCTCCATACTTCACTCAATGCCTTCATTACCTCGGACTTGGAAAGTAGCCATCTTTCCCCATCCCTCATATAAGAGAATAGGGGGTCTTCTTTCTTCACTCTGTTCTCTTTCACGGTTTTCTCCAACGCGCGAACCGGGTCTAGCTTCGTAGGTTGTTTCTTCAACATCAAGTACTGTACTTCATTCTGTTTTGCTGTCTTTGCTTCGTGAATGGCAAGTTCTAAGTTTCCTTTTTCACCCACCCGAGCTAGATCATCAAGGATCGGTATCCTTTTCCCTGGTTTATCCGAAACAAGCTCTCCTAATCTTGCCAGGCCCCAAAAGGCGGTAAGTGAGACTGCAACAATCGCAACTGCCTTGTTCCCTCCATTTCCTAATTCCCTTACTATCTGATTTAGGTGAGAGACTAAGACCGGCTCTTTGCTCCTTACTTGCTTTTCTATACTCTGATGACCTGAAGCTGATTTGCCTTGTTTCTTCTCTGATTCATACTTCCTCAAAGCTTTCAGTATCAACTTTGTGAAGTCTTCATCTATCTCCGGGAATTCGCATTGATGTAGCTTATGCCATGCCTTCAATCCTACAACGTACTTCCGAACGGTATCTGATTTGACTGCTTCACTGAATGTTTCCTCCGGATTACGTCTCTCGCTCACACCTAGGATAAAGTCATAAATTAATTCTTTTGTTGCTGGCAAGCATTGGTTCCTCATTCTTCCTTCTTTTTCATTGTACTTTATGTACTTCTTTAGTCCTGAATTATAAAGTTTCATAGTATCTTCGACCCAGCCTCCGCCTACGATGTGTTCTACCAATTTTTCCTCCGAAACCCTTCTAATACCGTCAGGTCCGGTTTTCAGCTCGTCTAGGTTTGGCGGATTCTTCGGCTTCGGATGCTTTGGACGTTTTGTTGACTGGTCCATTTCTCTGAAAGACCTGTTCTATCAATCCGACTAGGTCTGGCGGGAGGTCGATGCGCACTTGCTTCCTCAGGTCTTCGTTTGAGTTATCACCTCTAGACAGGTCGTCGGCTGGGTTCTTTTCTGATGTTACCCTTTCCTCTTTCACATCACATTGGTAATTGGTTAGTAAGTGCTGAATTCGTTTCCACTCCTCATTCACCGTTTCATCCTTTGATTTCCGATTTCGGACTACCCCTTCAGTCGTTGTGTTATCGGTGTGTACCACAAATCTTCTGCCTCCTGTTTCACACTTTTTCCTTACTAACATGATACCCAATCTGATTATCACTGTCTCTGCCCAGGCGATCTTCCGTTCTGGTTGGTTTTGTTTCAGGTACTTGGTTTGCCAACCTCTTCTCAGTCGGAACATCGCCCAAGACGAGCCCATGATTACTCCTAGCCCATATGACGTAGAGGCATCTCCATACCACCCTACTTCCGTTGGCGTCTTCTCTGGTAAGATTCGGAGGTTGTCAAAATGATGTAATGTAAAGTCCCAGTGCTCGAGATCCTCCATTACGTCATTGGGTAGGTTTCGTCTAATCCATTGGTTGCCCCACACCTTTTTGCAGTGGTGCATTGATCTCATGTACGCCTTCATGTGGGGTAGGATCAGCAGGGTGTGGCATAGCCTTCCGACTAAACCTTCAAATTCTTTGTAAGATATCTTGTCCTTCGTGGTAAGCACTCGTCTTGTTTCTTCTCTTCTCTCTTCTAATTTCTTCTGTGGTAGCCGAACGGTATGTGATTTACCGTTCCAAATGAATCCTACATATTTCTGCTCATAAGCGAACTCATGGTATTTGGTTTCGTTGGTCCTTACTCCTAGCTGGTTGCTGATTTTCACCACGTCCTTCATTGTGACCGTCGAATCCGGCCGTTTCATCAGCATGTTGTCATCAACCCAACGAAATATTCTCGGGATCGCTAATTGTTTCTGGACCAAAGCTTTCCATGCATCCGCGGGTCTCCCGAATATTCCACAGCCGGCTACTCCACCGAACGCTACTCTTGTGTCAACCCAAAGGCCTCCTTCAAAGTCTTTCAGTATCAAATACGGCCACTGATCCGGGTCGGTTGAGATTTGGCGGTAAGCCTTCTCCCAATCGAAGATCGCCAGCAACCATGCTCCAGGGTGAGTTTTGAAGAATTCTACCACCTTTGCAAAGTCATCCCACGTTGTTTTGAAATGGTTCTTATTGACGTAAGAGTTTACTGACGGTATCTTCTTCTTTCTCCGTGGGTATGACAGGTCATGAATCACCCGAAACGTACCATCCCCATTGACAGTACTCCCCATCGGGCTTGATCTAAAGAATGGGAACCACTCCTTCAACTGAGAGTGCGAAAAGGGGCCGTATATCCTTCCCTCTCTTTTTTCTTTTTCTAAAGTCCTTCTGATCTTTTCTCTGACGTCTGAGGCTGATTTGTGATTGTCAGGAGTGTACCACGGTAGGTCTCCTACCCTATGGTCTGGGATCCCTTGGGGGAATCCGTAGCGAAAGCCATCTAAGACATCCCCGTATTCTTCCAGCAGATCGGTTCGTTCTAGCTGCCTCCTCCACTCTTCAATGTTCATTTCGCATCGAGCCCTACATGGCCATGGCCTGCCATCCTCTGGCCTGTGAATCTTCCTTACGTGAAGGCTTCTCCTTTTTGCTTCTTCTTCCTCATCTAATTCTTGGTCACCCTTCTCACTCGTGGAATTGTCTGAACAAACTGAAGTTGAACTACTGTAATACCGTTTCATTTGATAGTAATCACTGTTGACTACAGAAAACTCCTCTTCTTCCGAGCTCAGGTCTTCTGTACTGTGTGATTCGCACGAATCTGTGTAACTGTTACAGTAACTATACGGTGGAAAGGCAAGGCAAAATCTGGTAAGTTCATACACTCTCACTGGTCTGGCACGTTTTGGGGCATGGGGCAGGCTAGGTATCAAGTCAGGGTGGGACAGGTGGGTTGGGCTATGTTGCCAATAGGCTGCATTGCATGGGACATGGGTATAAGCGTGTAATCCTTGGTCTGCTCACTTCCGTTTCGGGTTGTCTCTTATGCTAGACTTATTGCGATTTTGTGCGGATCGACTTGAGTTTCTATAGTCGTCCCTTCGGTCATCTCTATCACTTCGCTCGCGTCTATCTTCGCGATCATATCGCCTGGGAGACCGTGTTCTTCGGCTTGGGGACCCGGATCTGTCATCACGACCTGGTGACCATCTATCTCCTCTGCCGCGGTACCGGCCTCTGGATTCCCGATCGTCATCTTGATCGTGTCGGTCGTAATCGGTTTGGTAATAGTTGCTTCTACCGCCTCGGCCTCGACCTCAACCTCTTCTGTTATGGAAACCACCCCTATTGTCCTTCTTATTATAAGTCGAATCATCTTTCCACTTAGGTGTGTCTTCCTTCTTCTCTGATCTGTCTGCCGTTTCTCCTTTTTCTTTCACCGCAATTTTCGACAATTCTGGCGTTTGATCCTGACGTTTTCCTCCTTTCGCATAGGGGTTGTCGTGGCAGTCCCACTCGCGGAACTTATCTACCGTACGTCTAGCTTGTTCTTCTATCTTCTTTTGACGAACTGATGGGTCGCTGACTTTCCCACCTTCAACTCTTGTCGTCCAAAATTGTCTTCTTATCATTACGTCATATCTCAATGCCACCATCCAATTGTCGTCGTTCTCTTGTTTCACCCTTTCCACATTCCTTTTGTGTCCTTCAAACTTCAACACTAACTTCTCGAAGTGAAACCAGTCTCTCAAGTAATCGACGAACAAATTAAAGCAGGTCACCCAGTCGCCATAAGTTAACCGCAGTTCTGAAGGGTAAGTCAAGCCTTCGTACTTCTCGTGATCCGAGTCATCGTCATCATCTTTGCTTTTCTTCTTAGCTGACTTCTTTCCTTCTAGGCTATGATTTGCTTCAAGCCATGCTTTGTTGAACATCGATATGGGAACGTAGCCTTTCACCTTCCTGATTCGATTATCCCAAAATACAGTCAACTGCGTCATGTGATGGCTTGGAACCTTGCCATCCGCGAACTCAATTCCATTTTCGACGAAATCTCCCGCTTGGCATTCGATCTTCTCGACCGGTCTATCGACTTCATCCTCTTCATCCTCGGAAATTGGCCTTCCCTTTGGAATCATCTTTTCCGCCGTTTTTGTCGTTTTCACTCTTTTTGGTTCCGGAGCGTTGCTTTTTGGTGGGAGATTCGGAGGATCGTCGTTCTCAGGTGCACGGCGCGATGGGATTATTCTTGGGTGAGTATCACCACCGTTCTTTTCTGATCTCTTTGGTTGTTGGCTGGTCAACGGTTGGTTCGACTTCATCCCAACACCATCTCGTTCGATTGCCACAACTTGCAGTTTTTCCGGGTTGTATCGTAGGAGGTAAGTCGTCATCAACTCGGCGTGGTGATTGAATTGTTGGCTATCTAGGGCTTCTCTGATCTCCAGGAGAGCTCTCGCTTGTGCCTGCGATGGACCGGCTGACGCTTTGCGCTGTTCACGCTGTTTGCCTACGAACGAATGGACATGGATCGATTTTATGAGTTTTCTTTCCCCTGAACATGTCTTTCTTGTGGAAGGGGAGGGTGCGTGTAAACGTATCGTGCCCGAGTCCGTTATGGGGACCTATTCTAGGGCCTTCCCACCGTTATGGGGTGAGGGAACGACATTCTGCTCGTCTCTTTAGCCGTTATGGGGCCTCTGATCACTAAAGTATACGTTCTTTGTGTCAGGTCTGCTGGTACGTGTCTCGGACACGAATCACGGGTCACGGCGGTTCTAACTCCTAGTTCTCTGGTTGATCACGCCTTTATCCACTGATGGGCTCGATATCAAACCAGTTAACATTTTCATCTTGCTTGTTTGATCATCTACCGGCTCCTTCTTGATCCTCTTCAATTGCTCCTAGTTGTCATCCTCGTCTTCATCCTCATCCTCTAGGTACCCTTCGATGTACTCTATCGTACTTTCTCTTGACGCGTCCTCGTTAACCTGTGGGTCTTCTTCTATAGTCGTTAAAGTTGATTTCCCGGTCAAGTTTGTCGCCATCGTTGAGCTTTGTGTTGGCTCTGGTCGGGGGGACTGATGGTGCCTTGCTTTGTCCTTGTTGGTCTTGCCCTTGGACCTCTTTCTGAGTCACGCTCACACCCGGGGCCCCGAAGCCACAAGGCGCCCTGGAGGGGCACATGGCCGTGGCCAGGGCTTAGGCCACGCGTGGCCCTCACCACAAGCCCTTCATGACCTTCATAGTGCATGAAGTTCAGCTTAATTCCCCTTCAAAGAGTGCCTTAAGCAGGAAGTAGCACCTGAAGATGAGTTGGGCTATGATCAAAAGTTGTTTCAAGGGCAGGCCACACAGGGCTGGGCAGGGCTGGGCCACGGCCCTGGCCACGAAAAAGGCGCCGGGTGTGAGCGTGATTTCTGAGCAACCTCTCTCCTCTGCGGATTCGGGCCTTTGATCACAATACGTTTAATTTTTGGATCTTGATTTTGCTCTTCATTAGCTTGCTTCTTCGTTGTTGTCTTCTTCTTGGAAGGTTGTTGTTCTGGATTTGTTGGATTCACTGATGGTGCTCTGCTGAACCCTCTTAGTTTCCGCCTTGGATCGTCTTGTTCGGGAAATAATTCGTTGCTTCCGTTTGATGCCATTGTAATTCTTCTTTTCGCAAGGTTTTGTTCTACTACTAGTCTCAAATCTTGAATACTTTGATGTCGATGAGATGTTTAAAATTTGATAATGATCAAAGTTTTGAGTTTGAGCTCTTGCGATAAGGTAGCGATCTGGAAGCTTGAAGATTTCCTGTATTGGAAATCTCTCAACTCAGATGGTTCGTGTACATAATGGTTAAGTCATTATGTACCTTACGCTACTTACGCCTGCTCACACTCCACCCTGTAGACAGAGGTCCAAACGGCGTTCCTTGTCTGAACCCTTCATCATCTTCTGATGCTTTTGCTAACTTGACTGATAATTCTTTCACTTGGTGTTTGAGTTGTTCAATTCAGTTGTGTCTCTCTGATCCCTTGATGCTTGTGATTGATAAGGCAACAAAACATTCCTTATTACCAATCTTCACAAAATATCCAACCAATTCTTCTACAATTGTAGATGTAGCAGATGTAGCAGCAGTAATCATTGCATCTTTGAATAAATTATGGATCCCAGTATCCCCACACCCCCCTTGGTAGCCTCACCACCCCCTCCGTTTCACAGCCAGTGAAAGACTTGAAAGAATCTATTGAAACTCAAGACTCCAAGGAAGTCTTAATAGAAGCCAGGAATCGGGCTTAGTCTAACCAGCTCTGAACACTGGAGACAACAAATAACACACCTTAATAGAAGCCAGGAATCGGGCTTAGTCTAACCAGCTCTGAACACTGGAGACAACAAATAACACACCTATACAAAAGGTGGAAAAAGGAACAAAAGTATTGGAACAGCAATACGCCAACTAGTCCTCAGTGAACTGATAATATTCATTACATTCATTTAAATAAGAAGTCTGACCTTAATAGAAGCCAGGAATTGGGCTTAGTCTAACCAGCTCTGAACACTGGAGACAACAAATAACACACCTATACAAAAGGTGGAAAAAGGAACAAAAGTATTGGAACAGCAATCTGGACAACAATAGTAAGAAAGAAACATTAAGAATCATGATATTGTGTTTGAGTATTATGGAAGAGAAAACACTCACATGCCAACTAGTCCTCAGTGAACTGATGAGGAGAAGTGGCGTGTACAGAGTGACGGTGAGTTTTAAATGTGATACAGTGATGATAATATATTAGGTTTGTTGTATGATTGAATTAGGTTTGAAGTTCTGTATTTGATTTTGATTTAGTGTGATTCAGTTTGAAGTAATGTAGTTTGAGTAATATGGTTTGAGTAATGTACTTTTAATATAGTTTTGATGTGTTTGATATCATTGTACTCTAACACACCCCCTCAAGCACATCAAAACATAGTAGAAAAACAGAGAAAAAGATTTAAAACAATGAGATAAAATAGAAACTTAAAAAAAAATAAGAAAGAAAGGAAGAAAGAAAAAAATATGAAATAGATAAGCTTAAAAGGATAGAATAAAATGAATCAAGTTAAGTGAGGATATTCATGTTGTTGACTCCCGATGATGTAACCCAATAGCCTTACGCAACCATTGGAACGGTGCCTTGCCAAGAGGTTTTGTGAGAACATCAGCAATCATGCGGTGTGATTGGCAGTGGCGCAACTCTACGGTACCGCGTTTGACCAGCTCTCTAATCCAATGATATTGAATTTCAATGTGTTTCGTTCGTGCATGGAAAATTGTCTTAGATGTGAGGTGAATTGCGCCGAGGTTGTCGCAGTGAAGGCGTGTCGGTTCAGTGATAGAAAATCCAAAAGAAATCAAGAGAGATTGTAACCACGTTGCCTCTTGTCCTGCCTCCGTTGTGGCACGGTATTCGGCTTCGGTGCTTGAGAGTGCAACAGTTGGTTGCAGTCTACTTTTCCAACTGATTGCTCCACCGAGAAACTTAAAAATGTAGCCTGTAGTTGATCGCCGGTTGTCTTTATTACCAGCCCAGTCTGCATCAGAGAATCCGTAAGGACAGTCCCACGATTGGTTTCCTGATAATCCTTTACTATCACCATTGTATTCAATAAATAGGTGAGTCGTACCACGTAGATAACGAAGAACGTGAATAAATGCGTTCCAGTGAGCCTTTGATGGTTTGTCGAGGTGTTGAGAAAGCACACCAACGGCGTAAGCTATGTCGGGCCTGCTACATTGGGATAAATACATCAATGATCCGACTCCGTTACGGTAAGGTAAATTTTGTTGGCTGAAATCTTGGGCCTCGTAGTCGGTAGCTCGAGTTAGTTTCATTTCTGCTGGAAGTGGAGTGCTTGCTGGCTTGCACTGGGACATGCCAAAGCGTTCTAGGATGCTTTCTACCATGGCAGGTTGTCCAATAGCGTATGAAAATTCAGAGATGCGAGCTATTTGAATTCCTACAATACAGTGTGATATTCCGAGGTCCTCCATTTCCCAGCGCTGAGAGATCAGGGTCTTGATGTGTGCGATTTCATTACCAGTGATAGCCATATCATCCACGTGTATATACATGGCTGTGAATTTAGACCCATCGTTGGAAATTTGTATAAAAACACATGAATCCGCTTCTGAATGTTTGAAGCCAATTGATAATAGGAATTCAGCGACATCATCACTCCAGTACTTAGCTGATTGTTTGAGGCCATAGATTGTTCTTGCAAGGCATGCTACCATATCTTCATCATATAATGCTTTAAGATTATCGGGTAGTTCCATATATATTTCATAATCTAATTGATTGTTCAAAAAGGCACAGATAGCATCCATTGAGTGGATAGGCCATCCATTGAGAGCAGATACCCCTACAAGGGCTCGTAGTGAAGCAGGTTTGCCGGTTGGTGAATACGTTTCATGATAATCGATCCCTGGTACCTGAGAGAAACCTTTCGCTACGTATTGTGCTTTAAATTTGGCAATGGTTCCATCTAAATTGGGTTTGACTCGATAAACCCAACGGCCGCCTACGACAGCTCTGTCCTTAGGGCGTTTCACAACAGTCCAAACTTTCCGTTTATCAATTGATGCGATTTCTTTATTCATCGCTTCAATCCATTGATCTTTTTCTTTAGACTTGATGGCTTGCTTATAAGTCTTTGGCTCATTAATTAAGCGTACCGTCGGGGTCGTTGCAAATGCATAGGCATCCAGATCATCCGCCGCGATGAAAGCATTGATATCGGCCCAGAATGTGTGGTTAGATGATGGAGTATATCTATCAGGCGCTCTATGTTCCCTTGTAGAGCGTCTGATGCTAGGTTGCTCAGATTTCGGTCGATCGATACCATCTGGAGTCGCTTCCAAAGGAGGTTCAGACTCCTTATTAGCTTCCATAGGTATTTCGGGTTCTTCCGGTACAGCTGATCCTTGGTCATCAACAGGAGGTTCAGACTCCTGGATGACACTTGGATTGATAGCAGGTGTACGGTGAGTTGTTATAAGTGGATAATTGTCATCATCTAAATTGATGACTGGTTCAAAACGAGGATCGGACTCTTCAAGTTGTGATAATTCTTCTTTTGAGAAAAGGTTTTCATAGTTAAACTTGATTGATTTTCGAAAAGGAAAGAAATCTTCGCGGAATTTAACATCGCGAGATGTAACGATCTTCTTAGATTCAAGATCGTATAGTCGGTAGTTGAAGTTATCGGTAGCAAAACCAAGAAGCACCCCGGTTCTGGTTATTGGGTGAAATTTACCATCTTGTAAGCTTTTTCGGATGATATACTCAACACCACAACCAAAGGTTCGAAGATGTGATATGGAAGGCTTTCTACCATACCATCCTTCAAATGGTGTTATTGATCCTTTGTTGTATGATTGAGATATCGTTTGGTTGTCAAGGTATATGGTGGTGTTTACAGCCTCAAAACAAAAACTTGGAGGTAAATTTGAGTGTTGTAATAGAGCTCGTGCCTTATAGGTAACTGTTTTGTTTGCTCTTTCCGATACTCCATTCTGTTCTGGTGTGTAGGCAGCGGTTTCATGCAACCAAATACCGTGTTCCCGGCAGTATGGCACAAATAAGTTGTTGAAAAACTCAGATCCTTGATCGAGAGTGAAACATTTGACGGTTTTCTCACTTTGGCGTTCGGCGAAGGCTATGAATGCACATAGAGCGTTAAAAACTGACGTTTTGTCTTTAGATTTCAAGAAATAAACAAATCGCATCCCAGTCAAGTCGTCGGTGAAAAGTATATAGTATAGATAACCACCACTGACATAGCCTCTTACAATCCCGCTTAAATCTACGTGTACATTTTCTAACTTGTTGGTAGCACGAGGTCTGGTATGGGAGAATGGGGGTCTTTCACTCTTTGACTTTATACAAGCAATACAATCAACAGGTTTAGTTAAATCACAATCATCTGAGATTCCATCAACAATCTTTTCCTTGATCATCCTTTGAAGGTAGCCGAAATTAGGGTGGCCTAACCAATGATGAAGGTTGATTAAACTATCAGATGGAGTAACTGTTGTTGATGATGATGGTTGGGAAGGAATTTGACGTACCGGACATTCGATCAACTTGACGATCATGAGATTCCCAGAGAAAAATCCTCAAAATAGTATCTTCTTGCCAAGATTTAAGGTGAAAATGTGAGGTTTGGTTTGATGAACGGTTGGGACAACACCTTTCTTGATGAGTGCACCGGCAGCGATTAAGTTCTTATTGAGGTGAGGTACATAAAGTGAATTCTCAAATTTCATCACATTCCCATCAACATCTAACAAATAAGCAGTTCCGATTTTTTGAATCTCGAGTGTATCATTACCACCGGCTAAGTTAAGCCTCTTGCTGGGATCCGGATTCGGAGTGAGTGATCTCTGATCAAAGTGTTTCAAATCATTAAACATATGGTGTGATGAACCTGTGTCAGCCAATCCGAAAGAATTACTCGGAATTTTGGCTTGTACAGCCTTGTTGCTACAGAAGTAATCAATGTGGAAGACTGATGGTTGGCTATCATCCGTTGATACATTCATCGAGTTCATCGCATCAGTCAATTCATCAAGGTCTTGATCATTATCGGTGTCTTGTTGAACATTTGATGAATTTCGGTGTTGAAAGGTTTTCGACTGACTGCTAGATTGTAGGTGATTTGGAACTTGACCTCTCCATCTCCCTTTCTTTACTAACTCCTTCTGCCACTTGATCTTCTTATCTTGATTCTTAGGGTTTTCGAAGCATTCATCTCTACCATATTTACATACACACCGATCAGCTGAGCATTTGGGTCGTGTAAATTGGTTGTTGCGATTATGATTGTTACTTCGATTCACAGAATGAGCACCGGGATGGAAGGATTGATTTTTATATAAGTTGGCAAACTGAGGTAAGTTTCTGATTTCCTTTTCTTTCAATAGAATATACTGTTCTACTCCATCATAAGTAAGAGGCTTGACCATATCAAACACGTTTGATAATATCATTTGATTGTCCGGGTGAAGCGATTTGATAAGTCTACGAGCAATCTGTCCATCGGTAAGATCTCCTCCGGCTAACATCAATTCATCCTTCATTTCCCTAAATTTCGCGAGATGAGTTTCTAAAGTAGTGCGATTGTCTTGTCGAAAATCATCAAGATCGTTATCTAGTTGAAATTGGGCTGCCTCAGATATTGGGGCTTTGTTATTTCTAACAATAGTCCAAAGTTTTGATGGTTCATACTCCAGATCTACTTCGCCTTCTTTTCTAACTTGAAGCTTAGATTCTACATAAGCTGAATTTGAAGTATCCATGCGATTAAGTAGGTAATTAGTTATACACTCCTTATTTGCAAGATGTTCTTCATCAGAAATTTCAGGTGATTTGTTGGGCGAGGTAAGATAAGTGTCGAGACATAATGTTCTGAGGGATCTTCTAATTCCAAGAGCCCAGTGATTATAATTGTTCTTCCCTAAGATAACTGTTGCTTGTAATTTGCTTAAATTATGATTCAGGATGACAGCAAAATCTTTCTGAGAAGTGGGTTGTTGAGGGGCTTGAGAGCTCATGATTAGGGATGATCTAGGGTTGTTTTGTGATGTTGGTAAAACAGTCTGATTGTAAGTAGCAGAGTGGGTTGAGGAATCAGATTGTTGTTCCAGAGTTTCGTCTTCCGATGTTTGATCGAGCACTTGTTTGTCAGGATCGGAAGAGGAGGTGATGGGAGAAGATGCAGCTATAGGCGATGACATAAAATATTGAGAGAGTTTGAGTTCGCTCTTGCCACCATGAAAGAATCTATTGAAACTCAAGACTCCAAGGAAGTCTTAATAGAAGCCAGGAATCGGGCTTAGTCTAACCAGCTCTGAACACTGGAGACAACAAATAACACACCTTAATAGAAGCCAGGAATCGGGCTTAGTCTAACCAGCTCTGAACACTGGAGACAACAAATAACACACCTATACAAAAGGTGGAAAAAGGAACAAAAGTATTGGAACAGCAATACGCCAACTAGTCCTCAGTGAACTGATAATATTCATTACATTCATTTAAATAAGAAGTCTGACCTTAATAGAAGCCAGGAATTGGGCTTAGTCTAACCAGCTCTGAACACTGGAGACAACAAATAACACACCTATACAAAAGGTGGAAAAAGGAACAAAAGTATTGGAACAGCAATCTGGACAACAATAGTAAGAAAGAAACATTAAGAATCATGATATTGTGTTTGAGTATTATGGAAGAGAAAACACTCACACGCCAACTAGTCCTCAGTGAACTGATGAGGAGAAGTGGCGTGTACAGAGTGACGGTGAGTTTTAAATGTGATACAGTGATGATAATATATTAGGTTTGTTGTATGATTGAATTAGGTTTGAAGTTCTGTATTTGATTTTGATTTAGTGTGATTCAGTTTGAAGTAATGTAGTTTGAGTAATATGGTTTGAGTAATGTACTTTTAATATAGTTTTGATGTGTTTGATATCATTGTACTCTAACAAGACTCACTTACCAGTGACACATGTTGTGACAGTAATTCAGTCCACACTTCACCTCTAGCTTAGCTTAATGGCAAAGCCCCCATGAGTGGCTTGTTTGCTTGAGGTGAGACAATATTACAAGGGACCCAAGCAATTTGAGCAAGTTTGGTGCGAGTATTGTTGGACTGTGAAATGTGCAAGTTCATTTTGTCTCTGTCAAAGCTTAAAAAGTAGTTTATAAAACAAGATAAAATCTGTCAGCATACATTATATGATGGCTAGATAGGGGTTGAGTGGGAGGTTTACAATAATTCTCATCAGCTTAGATGACATGGGTACTGAGTACAGAACCAAGCCTTACAGTTTTGGATAAGTTGAGTCAGAGTGTAGAATAAGACATCAACTTGATACAAAGTGAGACTGTAAGTGAAGGCATTTGGTTGACATCAAACGCTACACATCTCGCAAGAGAGAGCACACAATTTGACTTCCTCATACTCTTGTGCAGGGATGGTTTTCAGGTGAATAGCACATAATCACCATCCTTTAGGTACCTCTCAGCGTCCTTCCATTTTGTAAAAACATGTCGGCTCATTTTTTATAACAAAGATCAATCCAATCACCTGTGTCTCAAACCACAGTATGCGTCCCTCCAAATGAGGCAAGGGGGGAGGGTCTGGCATGGCTTCAACCAATTTTTGTAGGTCACCCTTGTCCATCGTGAGTGTGTCATCAAAGTTTCCATTGGTCAGGAAAGACTGCGCTAGCCAAAGGGCCTCGGCTTCCTCTGGCAGGCAGTTGGAACAATCACATGCTGACATTTTGGCCTCCAGTTGGTGTTTTGTCTCCTCATAGACCACTTCCGCGTCCGGATCGAGAGGTATGTAGCCATGACTGTCACAGTGAAACATGATTAGTCTATGTGTGACATGACAGCATCCAGTGAGGTTCCACAAAGTGGAATACTCACTGGAGGTCCACGGCAAGCGCCACCCTCAAACAAACCAGGGTAATTGATAGAGCGTCCATGCGGTTGTCGTCCGTCATAACTGATGGGGTTTTAAAGTTGGTGATGCTGTTCTTTCCTTTGCTCCGTGTATGTTTCACCAGGATAATTGCCAGGCCACGTCTTCTGTCGCGTCCAGAACGGCCAGCCATCTGAATGAAATTGCATGGATTCTGTCTACCTAGAATTATTACCCTTTGTACCCGCTTCCAATTTTGGCCTAGGCCGAGAGCCAAGGTACAACACATGACTGCTAGAGCTCCTGCCACAACAGTGGCCGCCGCGTCCTCTTTGGTCTTTGGTCCAGTGTTTGCATGGTACCGGCATGCAAAGTTGGAGTGAGCGTTGCCTGCTTGAGAAGGTTGGCCTCGTGAGGCGTGTAACATGACCAAATATTCCAACATGCTGTTTTGAGTACCAGCATACATAAGGGTGGGAACTAGATCCTCGGTTGGCATAATTGTGTGATGAGGAAAGATCCCGCGGACAGAGGCCTTGAGCGGTTGCTTGAAGGTTCTTTGAATCAGTTGAATTTCAGGTTGAGCGAGTTCCGCGCGAGGAAATTGGACGTCTCTCAAGTCTAGCTTAAATTGGCCAGGATTGCATGAATGTGAATTGGCGTGCAGGTAGCCGTCATCAGGAGGAGCGGCACCGAGGCGGAGGATAGAAACCGGCGAGCCAGTTCACCATAAGACGGTCTAAATACGCCGCCGTCCTGGACGCGTGTATGACTAGCAAGGCGTTTTGCTTGGCCACTCTCGACGAGGCCCCATTCATATATCATATGGGCCTTGTCGACTACGTTGAGAATCAATTGGTCTTGAAATCACCAGTCTCACCACATCTTGTCAAAGTGTTTGCTAGTCTAAGCAACCTCTGGACTCTGGCATAGAAGTGACAGGTAATTTAAGTCCATCAGCTGGGCCACTTACATATACATGACGTCGGACGTAGGAATTGTAATTACCACATAAACAAAACGGACTTTCCCTTTGATAATCAAATCAAAGTTTGCCTGCATGCAGTTAGGCGCATTAAGATTTATTGCGTGCAGGCCCACTAACTTTTTCTCAATACCCTGGATTCATGGGCGCGTAAGTATACAAGAAACAATCAATAATGCATGACATCACTGGGGGGCTTACCTGGTCATCCCCGAGTGAGTCTAAGGGGTTAATACATAGAATGATTGGAGCGTCATTTGTATGATTGTGGGCTGGATATACAATTTCTGGAACTCTGCTTTTGCCAAAACCAGTGCCGGCGAGTAAAAACACCGTGTGTCCATTGAGAAGGTCCACCGCTGATTGTTGCTGCTGAGTTTTACCTTCATATCCATAATGAGTCTGAAACAAATCGTTGACAGCATTGTTTTGGCTGGCTTTGGTAGTATCAATGAAAGCAGGCAGCTGTTTTGGGTCACAATGTGATGGATTGTCTAGGAGCATTCTGGGAGAATAATTGATCTTGATTCAGGCTTTGGCTTTGTCGTAACATCAGTTTATAACGAGATAGTGGTGGTGCAATGAAAGTGGTGGATGGAACTTGTTGAATTTGGCGCGTGTGTAACACAAAAGAGCACAAACTGCAGTTTGCTGGGGCAGTTTAAGAGGTTTTCAGCCCAAATCTGGAGTTTTGGTCAGTATTATTGACATTTGGTCGCCGCAGTCTTCTCTAGATATATACAGCCCCGTGATTGGCCCCAAATCATTTATTTGGGACATCTTCTATGCAATTTGAGCCAATGAAGAGCCAAGAGCGGCCAAATGTCCGCAGAGACGATGCCCGTGTTTTTTATTATAGACACAAAGGCACTTGATTGGTGTGATTTGAGCACAGTGAGTTTGGCAGATTTTGGTAAAAAGTAGCGGCTGATCTCATGCCAAGATTTCAAGATAGCGTCTAAGTCCCTCGTTGGAGCGGCTTGAGCTTAACGAGGGACTTAGTTAAGTTTGGTCAGATGATGTTGAGCCCAGATTTGGCTGCGGCTCCCGGGAAATTTGGCTGGAACGGGCTTGGGTGTGTGAAAGAACACGGGTAAAGCCCCGAAGAAACCGGGCTTTGGGGATTATCCAACCGGGCGCCAAATAGTGCTGTCCTTAAAAGAAACTATCACATATTTAGACTAAGAAACAACTATTTAAGTAAGGCTCTACTTATAAACCTCAACACAACTTTCATTACCTACCATTACATGCTACTTGTTGTCCTGTCCACTTAATCACAATCTTTGGGCAGTGGATGGATGCAGAAAGGATACTAAGATTGATAAATGTGGAGTGATAGCTATAGATCTTTCCAAGCTATAGGCATGAGATATCTCAGAGGCAGTGGAAATTGATGCATTGGGAGAGATGTGAAAAACTGTGAAAAGTTTTTCACATTTCCTCTGAGTATGTGTGAAGAAAACAATGTAATCCCTGCAGGTTTTCTGCCCAAAATATTGGTGTTGTAATGTGCAAATCTTTTTTACAATACCATATAACTGTCAAACCATTTTCCCATCAAATAAACCAACAAGTTCAGCACCCCAATGATCCCAGTGACAATCAACACCATTACCAATTTCTTCTAAGAGTATATCTCAAAGAAACCCCCAACCCACTTGTAAAATAAATTCCAAGAAACCTTCAATTCTATATATATATCTCATCAATATTTTTCACAATACCATGCCCTACAGTAAACCCATTTTCCCATCACCTACACCAGGAGTTCAGCACCTCAATGATCCCAGTGATGCATCAACACCATTGCCATCATCAATTTCTTCTAAAAATTTATCTCAAAGAAACCCCCAACCCTAAACTAAATTCCAAGAAACTTTCAATTATATATCTCATCAATATTACATACATACAAAAAGTAAAAAATTAAAAAACAAGTTTTTTTTTTTGGTTGGTTGGTAGGTAAATCTCTTTGTACAAAATAAAATCCACCTAAAGACTTTTCTTTTCATCCACAAAAAAAACCCCAAAGTTTGATAAATATCAGTTTCTTTTCTTCTTGATCATCAACTTGCACTTCAAAATTGCAAAACCAAAAAAGAAAAAAACCAAGAGAAAAGCTGCAAAACCAAGAAAGAAAAAAAAACAAAAGAGAAAAAAAACCAAAGAAATGCTGCAAAACCAAAAGAGAAAAAAATGGAATGAAAAAAAAATGGAATCAATCATCAAATCAAAACCCAATGAAATCCCCAATCCCCAATCCCAAATCCCAAAACCCAATTCATGTTTGCATGATTGTACCAAGACTCCCTCCCCTCCCTCCAAAAAACTGTTTTGAAAAAAAGATAAATCCAAAAGACAAATCCAATGTTTTTTTCATCCAATAAAATTTATTCCAAAATTCCAAAGTTTCAAGAAAAACCACAACTTAAAGTTCCAACCCCAACCTCAACCGAATCCCAATTTCCAAAAAGTATACGTTCAAAAATACCTTATCCAACCAAACATCCCTTCCCCATGATACTGATACTGATACCCAACGAACTCTACCCACACCAAACCCCCACGTCCATTCTTCGATTACTTCACATTTTCTTCACCATGATTCCAGAAACCACCAAACTAGGAATAAAAACCAAAGGAAACAAAACCGACATAACCCTACACCTTAACCTCCAAGTATGTACCGCTATAACCCGAACCAAAAAAAACCAAAAAAACCCAAAAAAATTAGAATCTTTAAAACTCAAAACCAAGCAAAGAAACACGTACCACGTTCAAGCTCCCAAACCGGACCATCCATAGCCAAAGCAACTTCCACATCGATCCTAGGCACGACCTCACTCCAAAACCCACCCAACATTCTCATTTCCGTCCCATCCTGATCTCCAAAGTTCGGTACCCTATTCTCTTCTCCCGTAGACCATCTAGTGAGATCCGAAACCGATCTATCCGAATCAGATGGGGTGGTTCTTCTAGGTGGCCATCCTGATAATGGACCTCCTCTTCCAACTCCAACCGGTTCTTCTTCTTGTTCTACTGATGGTCTAATTAGGTTTAATGAAACTCTCTTCGGATTGGGTTTTGAGGAAGATAATGAATTTAGTCTTGGATAAAAACTTCCAAGGTACCAAGCAGGAAAAAAAACGAATCCGAAAACAAAACACCATCCATTAAATGGGACCAATGCAACCGATTTCACAAACCGATTTGAGATCCTTGAAGAGTTGGTAGGAGTCGAAATTGATGATCTGCTTTGATGAGCTCTGATGGGTTGACTATCAATACGAATTTCCATCGAATGATTTCTATCCAACCGAACGGTTTGGTTAGCTTTCTGATGTTCTTGATGTGAAACTTGAGGTTGATTAGGAATCGGATCTAGTTCAATCAAGTCTTGCACATCCATCAATTCTTCCTGATCATCATCTTCATCATCCCTGATCCGCAAAGGAGCCCTAAACTTCCATCCCTCAAACCCTCCAGAAAACACCTTCCTTGGATGTTGTTGATGGCCATGCCTATCAGATCGTCTGTTTCCAAAGCTCCCATCTTCCGAACCCAACCAAGCCACTCCCTGAGGATCCGAAACCGCCCGTTTAACCCTACTTCTCGAACCACTCTTCTTCCATCCCTTTTTATTCAAAGAAGATCCGCTCAAGAAATTCGGATCATCATTCCCACCAAAGATTCCATGAGACTTAATCTTCTCAACCGGAAACGGTAACTTTAATTTAAACTGATTCAACTTCATCGAAGGTGTTGAATAAGTTTTCTTATGATCGACTGAGATCGTATTTGAACCTAACAAGAGTGGTGTGGTCTTAAAGAATTGATATTGGTTTAAAGAACTTGAGAAATGATGATGTGAGCTTTCAGACGGATGACTTGTTTCGTACACGATTGCTGCCGATTTAGCTGGTTTGATCCACTTCATTTGGCTTTGGGTCGGTTGAGAATGTCTTGGATTATATCCGATAGGTTTAGGTTCATTCAATTCATCGGATAATCTTTCAATCGGATTCGTAGTAGAGAAACTGTCCATGATATTCACTTGATCAGTTGCATCATACCAAGAAAGAGAAGAACTTTGATCTTCATCTTCTTCATCTGGTTCAGAATGTAATCCAGGCGAAAGAGAAGGAAGAGGTGAAAACCCTTGATCTGACGGTGAAGGTAAAAAGCTCAAAAGTAATCCTGCTTGATCATGATGAGTCAAATCATTAGGTTGTCCTTGTTCTTCTTGCTCGTTTCGACTAAAATAATCTTTTTGAACGTCTCGTCGAAGTTGAGTAACAGATCGTTGGTTAACCCTTTCCTTAGATCCCACAGAACTCAAAAAAGCTCTAGACGAATGAATCTCTTCACTCTCATCAGATCCAACAACGGAAACCAAAGTTTCTTTACAATTCGAATCGAATTGAATATCCAAAGCATTCAAAGAAGATCGATTGGAAAGGATTTCATGAGATCTCAAACTAGAAAGACGTATTGAATTTGGTTCGAGTTGATCACTACCTCTTCTACGATCCAAACCCATTGAAGTTTGTCTACCACGAGACCATTCCGAAAAAATACTGACCATCGTACCTACCCTACTAGGTGTTGAGATCGGTCTGGTATCTGTCGTTTCTGAAATCGATCCTGGTGATGATAAGATCCGATTAGAAAGCATGGTAAGACTAGGTGAAAGTCTTGGACTGGTTTCGAATGATAAAGCTGATTTTAAACTATGGTAAGGTGACGATTTAGGTGACAGATTGTCTTTTCTTGGGGTATGGCTTTGGCTTTGGATTAAAAGTTGTTCGGTTACCTGTCCGATCCGAAATCAAAAAAACTCATCTCATTAATCAAATTCATCTTTTGCAAACGAAGATGTCACTTACTTGGTATTCCCATGACGGGGAATGGGATGGAGTTTGTTTCTTTTTGCTTCGTTTCGAAAGATTCACATTTGATCCCGGTGAAGTTAAATCCCTATACCGATCTCGATGTCGATCAAGCTTTTCTTGTTGACCGATATGTTGATGATCTCTTTTCCAATAATCAGATGGACCAGCTTCCGGAGTATGATGTTCGAAAGCATCTGATCGTTGATTAGATAAAGGTGACAAACTTGATGATCGATCCAAATGACTAATTGGATGTTGATTTGCCATTGCATTCTGATACCTAAGTTGAACACCCAACTTCCCACCCAAACCCAAACTCTCATGTTTCTCTAAACTAATTTGAAACGAATTAGAAGTACCTGAAAAATCTTTGGTAGATGTTGAATTAGTCGTGTTAGATTCATGTCTTGGGTTCGGTAATCTTTTCTTGATGATCCGTTTGGATGGAATAGAAGGTTGATTGGATGAGATGATCGGACTGAAACCTGAAGAAGGTGTTTTCCTTAATCGGTTCGTACTAGCTGATGAATGAGTCAAAGTGGATGAACCAGTGTTGGGTCGTGAAGAGTTTTGAATGATTAACTGCTTTGGAGTCCGATGAGATGGATTAGAAGCTTGAATGAATTGATTCCAATGAGAGTTAGATTTAGAAGAGAATGAGAATGATAAAGATGGTCTGTGATGAGTGTTTGATTTTTTACGTTCTTTTTCGATTTCTTGTCTTGCTAAACTAGTATAAGTAGTATAAACTGAATTTGATTTATAAACTGATGATTTCCTTTTATGCTGTGAAGTAGATTTGTGTTTTGATTTGTTGAGTTTGAAATGATTTGATCGTGGACTGAGTTGATGAAAAGAAGTTGAAGATTTAGAAGAAGAAGTAGAAGTAGAAGTAGAATGTTTGATTTTTGGATTCAAATCGATACCTAATGAAGTAGTCCAATCTGAAGTGCTTAGAGGGATATCTTGTTTTAAGATTTGAAGATTTGAAGTAGATTGAATTGAGTTTGGATGAAAGAATTGATCGTTTTGATTTGATTGAGGATAAACAAATGGTTTGGGTAAGATTGGCCAAAGTTGATTAGATGATGGTTGAATCTGATGATCATTTTGAGATTGAGCTGTTTCATAATTCGATCCAAGTTGAGAAACTGCTGTATGAAGCTAAAGAGATCAATCATCAGTTTGGCTAGTATGATTTGATATTTTGATTAGTTAACTTACTGATCTTTGATCTTCTTTTTCTTGTAATCTTTGATCTTCAGTTTGATGATGATTTGATTTTAATTTTAATTTAAACAAATGATTAGGTAAGTTTAATAATCTATTCGGTTGATTCGAATTGCTGGTCTTTAATGAATGTGATGATGATGATCTTGGTTTTTGGTTTGGTAATGAATGAATGATTAGATTGGGTTGATTGCTAGGATTAGTTGATGAGTTCATGATCTACTACTTTTTACATTTTCATCTGCTCACATCTCGATTCTGATAACCCTCTCTCTTTCGGAATCAATCACAATTAATTTTCATTTAAATTTCAAATCTTAATTCACTCTTTAAGGTTTCATTCACTTTATCATCACGTCTTTATCTATATTCTTCTAATTCTGACTTAACTAAACTACAAATTCAACTCATCCTACCAATCGATCACGAAGGACTTCAATTTTTAAAAACTTGACTTGACTTTTGGGAGTAACCGAAGGGTTGTGCAACTTTGTAGCGGCTACGGCTACCCACTACGATTCTGCTACTCTAACCCAAAAAAAACCCGCAGCACCCCCCTTTCGGAAACAGTACCCAAACTCTATCCCCATCCATCTTTGTTGTTGATAACGCTCATCCAACAGGACCCCGGAATGCCCCTATAAAGGGTAGTCTAGTAGAAAAGTCCCTTTTGAGCTCCCGCGGAGCTACACTTCATGGGTTTATACCCTTCTCTAATTAAAATCAAATTTCTGACTTTGGTTATTGCCAGCCTTTCGAGTCTTTGACAAGTACTTGTACTTTGTGACATGAAGGCTGACACTAAGATTGCGAAACGTTGTGAAATGCCGAGGTCGATTGAGCTTGAGCCTGGAGCAAGTGACCTTTCATAAGAGATTGTATATGATTTGCTTTTACTTCTTTGTTTTCTTGTTGACCGAGAATTTTTTATTTCAATCATCAAAGATGTCTACGCCTTCAAATGAAATATCTAATGTCTCAACATCAACGACTTTGCGCACTGCCAAACAAAGACTATTGGCTGAGCGAGCTGCCAATAAAGATGCCAAAAAACGCAAGGATTGCCCGTTGAAAACGGATGATGATCAAAACTGCCCAGAATGTGTCTTTACAAAGGATGGACCTGACCAATGGTTACACTGCCATTGTGGAAACTCGGTCAAAATGATACACGGTAGGATTCACTATGCCAAAGCCCATTGGGAATCAAGTAAGTCATCGGTTCCTAAAGCCAATAGATCTTCATTGATTGTCCACTGATGAACCAACATCATTTTTCATGTTTTGATTGTCTTCAAATAGTAACTTGTAAGACAGCAACAGCAAAGCTTCGACGGGCTGTAGATCGACCAAAAAGTCTTAATGGTTCAAATAATCATCCACAAGTTTTTGATGTCCGATGTGCAGGCCTGACTGACAAGACATGGCTGCGTCCAGGTCAACAACCTATGTTGACATGTATCCAGCATTCCTGCACGGCTTATCACGGATATCCACCAAGGTTTACTGTATGTCTCCGAATGTTTAAAACCCCGCTAGAGAGCTCGCTGTCCGATAGCCAGAAGCATGAGCTTCAAGAAGAGCTCTTGTCGCTTTCCACGTGGATCATCAGGCGTGATGGAAGTCAGGGTTCAATTCATTCCACCAAATGTACTCAGCGAGTTTCAACCCTCGATTCTGGGGCTGTTGAGGTCTGTGTGCCTTGCTTGGAGCTCAAGAAATCTTCATCATTAAGCAAAGCTATCACTCGAGGCTACGCATCGGATGATACACTCAGATTTGTTGCAAAAAATTTCATGGATAGGGGTCCATTCCACGAACTTCTTTTACGCTATACTGAGCTACAGCAGTTGATTCAATCAGTTGAACGATCAACAAGAGCTGGCGACCTAGAGTTCTGGACAACTTTTGGTGTCCACGCCCGGGCTGGACTGTTTAAAGATGTCCCAATGCTTCGAGCAGTAGCAGAGGGAGTTGCCATTCGGGCTGAAAGGGAAGCAAAAGGCTTAACAACTCGTGGAATGCCATTCAACGAGTACCTCGACAACATGCTTACAACTGCAGGAGCATACTCCAAAGGTGCTTCCGAGCTGTTTCGCGCAAACCTTGCTGGACGCTCATCTCGTGGCTTTCGCTTACAACGCCAACGGATTGGTGCTCGGATGCACGATAAATTTCACATCGATAATGTTCTTCCGGTAGTTGCTTGGCTTGAGCGATACGGATACAGTGGGCCAGTATCAGCAGGAACAGACCAGACGGTATGCGTGAAGGCGCTTCGTTACAACAACAGCTGTTTGGTTGGTGTAGAAGGTGGTGATGTTGAAGTTTCCGATCTCGAACACCTAGAGAAGTTGGTGGAGCATGCAGTTCAAGGAGATCACCTGTGTAAGAAGGTCAGTCTTCTTTCTTTGGTGAGATTCAACTTTCAAACTTCACTTCCAGATTTAAGTTGACGACAGCTACCGTTATCTCAGATTCGAGCATACACTCTACAGGTCCCTCTTCCGAACGTTCCTACATTCGTGGTGGCTTTGATTTCTAGTCGTGAGGATGAGTCTGCTGAGGATATCAAGGCTCAGCACCTTCAGTTCATCAATCTACTTGAATCTGTTGGAATTCGACTCATCTCATTGGGGTCTGATGGTGCAGCATCTGAAGTGCTCGCACAAGAGTTACTTGTCAACTCGGCGACAGAACATTTGGAGTTCTCAGCTCCCAAACTCAGTGTCAACATACGTGTTCCACTTCTAGGGGCCTCGAAACGACCAGTTGTAGTAGTACAAGATCCTAAACATGCTAGAAAGACAGCTTCAAATCAACTACTTTCTGGGGCGCGTTTCTTAGCTTTTGGACGATTCAACGTCAACCTTGACCAGCTCCTCACTTTGCTCCAAACTGAAGAGTGCCCACTTGGCTATAAAGATGTATTAAACACAGATAAGCAAGATGATGGGCGAGCTTACCGAACTTTCAGCGAGGACACTTTCAAGGCTGCTTGTGCACAGCCAGATTGTCTTGGTCTGGTATTGTATCTCTACATATTTGGCGAGCTTGTTGATTCTTGGTTGAACCAGAGCATGCCACACCGAGAAAGGATTATTTCAAGTTATACGGCAGTCTTTTTTGTACGAAAGTGGAAGGCATATCTACTCAAACGTCAAAAGGAACCAGGGAGCTTGATGAATTTATCCTCAAACCGTATCTCACATCAAAGCATCCGAATATTTGAAAAGCTTGGTGAGAGTCTCACCGTGACCACTACCCTACGCACCCGCTAATGCCCTGGAAACATGGCACTGAGTGTTGTGAGCACATCTTTGGATGGATGCGGGTAATTTCTCCAACTTTTACTGTATTAGACGCAAGGCAGATGATGCCAAAGATATTTGCTGTGATAAAGAGCATCATGAGTGGGCATATCACATTACCCATGAGTGAGAATCTGCACGCAGGTAAGTTTTCTAACCAGAGTCTGCTCGTGTTTTTTATAAAGCTAATCAGAGTCTAATTTCATAGGCTACAAACACGATTTCTCACCCAATAACACTCACGATTTCAGCTACATCCTCAGTCAGTATCCCAGCAACAGCGAAATCAATGAACTACTTGAGCTCGCGGAATCTCGGGCAGAAGAACTAGCAGCTTTTGCTGGCATGACAACAAACAATTCAGCAGCACCACTCAACAACTTCACATCTGAGGAGGCCTGTGGTGAACATGAGCTTGATGTATCTGTATCAATACACAAACGATCTTACCTGAACTATCCTTTTGAACCTGAAACGATCACTGTTGAACAGGCATTAGAAACTGCAGCGGGATTGACAAGCCAGCACCAAGAAACCGATGTACTGATGTCTCAAATAACTGTGAACTTGGAAGCTCTAGCACTCGAAGTCCCCACCGATAACATGATACAATAGACTACGACCAATCAGCTACTAGAACCATATGTGACTCCTTTGACTACGTCAGAAGCTCTGGTGAAATCAGATGGGACTTTGCACATTGACCAAATGCTGTCCAAAAGACACGCACATGACAGTCAAGTCAAAAATTATCACGGTCCAGAGAAACCACGTATCACACCAAAAGATTTACCTGTCCCGCAGTACGATCCAGACACCGGCCACGAAGTTTTGTTGCCGAGTCAATACAGTAAAGCAGTTTCCTTCTTCTGGCGTTCGCACGAGGATCCAGAGTACGGTGAAGCCCGTAAACATCGGTGGAGAACACTTGGAAAGCGCAAGTCGCGTGAACTAACGAACAAGCAACCTGAAATAAATGTTGCAGAATCAGGTGTAGGATCACAAGTCCGGGATGTAGACGAAGTAGATCATAGACCAGATCAAATCTTTGGAATGGGTGCGATAACAGCCACAAATCCTCTTACTAAAAACAAATGGGTTGTAGTTATAAAGCAAGATGTGAGCATCAATTTTCATATTCATTTAAATGTTTTCTACATACTGATGTTGTATTTGCCTCTTTGTTGACTGAGCAGTACTTCTACCTTGGCCAGGTTCTGGCTGTGTTTGAGCATCACTCAGGAAAGCACGCGTGGATTGCAGAGGCTCATTCACGCGAAAAGGTATCCTACGTCTCACTTAAGATCTATCAGTACAAGCCAGGTCAAGCAATTATTCAAGCAGCTCATAATGAGGAGCTTCCGAATGAATTTACCTTCAGTCATCTTCCTGCAAAATATATTGCGTATGTCTTCACACCACAACATGATGAATCAGTCTTCTTGTTACTTGAATCTGGTCATTATCAAGTGCCTTCTTTGCTTGATTACTTGATTGCTAGTCGTCCTGCGTGGCAACGGCTGTTCTCGCCTCAAGGCGTCAAAAAATCTTCTCATAGGCGAACGAGGAAGGCTGTGGAAAACGATTCGTAGTGTTGATGTTTAGTAGACCTATAATTTTTTATGTATTATGATAATAGTCTCATGTGTAGATGACACATGAGAAATCAATAATGGTATGGTCTGAGAGAAATAAAACATCATCAAATTAAACAGAAATATAAAGACTTATAATCAGACTTCTTTGATACTCTGTCAATTGTGTTGATATGTATGCAATTACTGCCTTGCCTCTAGCTTCTGAGTTATGCGTCGAGCTGATCTCAAGGTTCGAAGCAGACAGGAAAAGCAGTTTGCACACAAATCAACACAATTTTCAAAGCAACAAAAAGGCTTGAATGCTTTCGGAGTGAGTGAAGATGAATGTTTTGTTTGAAGGAGAGAATAGATGCAGAGACTTGGAGCATGTACGATATGGAACATAGAGGCTGGTTCATCAGACATCAGGAATCGTTATATACTACAAAAAACAGATGGAGAGTAGTGCCAACTGGGCAAGTTGGATGTGTTTGAAATTGAATCGACCGAGTCCAATTAAAAAAAACAGGACCCTTTTAAAGAAGAATAGTTCAGATTACATCATTACAGCCCCTGATGTTGCTGGCTGAAACAGGTATCACCATCGCGATGCTGATAGCTGCTGTGTTTGAGACCACTTGTGTGACTTTCATAGAATCAAGATGGTTCCTTTTTCTGTTTTATTTCGTTTCTATATTCTGGTTTCTCGTTAGTTACAATTCCAAACAGTCCGTTAAACTGGACTCGATTGTCTCATACGTATGCAACAATAGTTCTCTTGATTCGTATTTCGATTAGTCCATTTCACTTCATATTCTGGTTCATTTTGAAAACGCTAACGCTCGAGAATCCCTGAGCGATGCAAAACAGAGCCCCTGCCAGTGCCAGTCTACCATGTGTTGGACTGCAGCATTCGGCGCATGATTTGATTTCCTCTGCTCGCATCTGTCTTTGTAATTTCACAGTAGATAAAGCAGTTGTGAAAGGTGTCAAGAAATTCCGAGCAAAACTTAAACCCTCTTAGACCTATGGGCGAAGCCAGGAACGAACTTAGCCGTTTGGCAGGGGCGTAGCTCCGCGGGAGCTCAAAAGGGACTTTTCTACTAGACTACCCTTTATAGGGGCATTCCGGGGTCCTCATCCAACTCCTCAACGTCCTTCTGATGCACATTTGTATCACAATCACCGCGGATTGGAAGCCGATGAGTTATGTCTTTTATTCCTCAAGTCAGATTATCAATTCATACACTTGAATACCTTAGCATCAAAGCTTGATGTGTTATCGTTCCAAGGCTTCCGCTTGTAACGGGAAATGTGATATTCTCATTTTCAGTTCGAACGGGTGGAGCAGTGGTGAGCGGCCAAACAAAAAGCTTGGGAAGGCTCAATACTAAACTTAACAAAGTCCCACGCTCGCGCATCCTTGCGACGACGCCTCGCGAGGATGCGCGAGCGTGGGACTTTGTTAAGTTTAGCTCAATACGGGCTTGTTTGTGGATGGTTTCTGAATAAAGAGTCTGTGCAGGACCCCGGAAAGCTCCAGGTCAACTATCCGACCTAAAACCACCCAAATTGACCTTTTCAATACCCTGTGACGCGGTAAAAACCCAAAAATTGAGGTCAAACAATTCCGGTTTCGTCGGTACGTTCAAAGAGCAAAAATCGCTAAAATTTCCTCACAAGACGAATCCATTCGTTTTTCGTCGGTATGTACGTTGAAAAGGGAGTGTTTTGGGCCTTTTTTTCCGGCCAAAGACAAATCCATACCTGTCAGGTCGGTACGTCTGAATTCAAAAAAACGGGTTTTTGCTCGAAAAAGACCCAAAAAATTCCTTTTTCGTCGGTACGTCAGCGTTTTTTTGGACCCTCGATCCATACATTTTAGGTCGGATAGTTTACCTGGAGCTTTCCGGGGTCCTGTCTGTGCACGCTGTACTAGGTCTCACGGTTGGATACTTCCAATGCCTGCGTGTCAGAAAGGGATACGTAGTAGATAGTAGCTGCTACCCAGTAGCAGCTACTTTAGTTGCACAAGCCTTCGAGTATTCTGTGACTTTTCATCTTATGACTTGCTCAACATGACTCACTCAACTCTCAAATCTGACAATCCCTTTGTCTTTGTGTCTTGGATCTTCATAGACAAGGAACTTCAAAGACAATTCAAATTCACATTTGGATGTGATCTTCTAGAAATGTCAACATGACACAATCACGAAATAACCCTCAGAAGTGTTGGGCCAAGTTCCCAAAGGGACATAATAACATCATATCCTCTCAAACAATCAACCCCTACAGGCTATAACAGGGTGGCTAGCGGTCTGATGCAGATCCAATTTGCACCGCAGTGTTTTTTGATCTTGGTGTGATTTAAGGGCCTCAACACAATCAAAACTTAGTTATGGTGGTTCCATACCAAAACACATTGGTAGAAAACTTTATTATGGTTTGAACACACCAGAACCAAAACATATGAACCACAACTCACAACTCAACAAACCATACAGCTGTTGTAAGATCCATTGGCAGATTTTTGAAAAGTTTTGTCATTGCCAGATTTAACTTTTGAAGTCAAAAACTCAAGATTATATCACTTTCAGACTGAACTTTATTGTCCTGGTGCAGATTAGACTGATGGACAGTAGGATTATCAATCTCAAAAGGGGTTTTTCAAGTTTTTGACCTCTACTTTAAATCTAGCAACAACACAAAGCTCTCAAAATCTGCTGATGGATCTTACAACAGCTGTACTTTGGTGAGTTGTGGGTAGCAAGCTTTTGATAGGTGAAGGGTATGATGATTTTTGTCTGTTTTCCAGGTGGGGAATTACCAATTCATGTGAAAAAGCAACAAATCTTTATTGCCAATGAAACAAATACCAGACCATTTACCTGTACAGATCTTCTAACAAACTTTGGGCACAACCAGATAAATCATTCTTTTCCAGAGTGACTAAAAAGCAACCCACTTTTTCTTTTCCTTTTACCTTTTACCTTTTTCATTTACTTTGTTTTTTTCTTTGGTCTTGTATGACAGGACCATCAGTTGTTCCCCTTGATTCTGGTGCCAACAAAACCTTTAACTTATCCTCATTATTGCAAGTTCTAGATGATGGACCAACTCTGTTCTTGCAGTCCTGCAGAGAGTGAACTGTGTTTTATTTTTGGCTTGCTTTGGAAGAACCCTGGAGGCACGACTTGGTTCGCAAGCCCAGGGGGACTTAGTGGAGCTGAGGGTAGCCCTGAGTGGTTCGGGTAGGCGGCCACACACTGAAAGAATGTGAAATTTCCTACGCAGAAATTTTCACCGCCAACGAACTCACTCAACCCCTCACGCTCGATTGATCACTCATCAATCAAACTAAGTCCAATTGACTTCTTGTCAAATCTTGTCTAAATCACTAAAATCAACTCATTGATTCCATCAAGTTTTTACAATAAATCTCCAAGTTTTTTCACAAATCTCTAAACCACAAGTAAATTCAAATTTCGGAACACGAGAGGAATACGATGGACAAGTCAATGGAAGAAAGATTGGCACGGGCGGAGGAGAATCTGGCGAGAGTGACGCGGGCTATGTCAACAGCAGCGAACGCGGCCGCCACAGCATCCGGACTAGCAGGACCATCCAACGCACCAACGGGGTCCAATCAAACCGGACTGCTAGATTCGATAGAAGAGGAGCCTCTGAACCCTAAGAGGACGAAGGCAGGAGCGCAGACGACAGGAGGAGCCTCCCTAGCACTACCAACGGATCGGCCCGGAGGGAGCGCAGAAGAAGATGAGGAGAACCTCGACGGAGTTGCAATACTCGAACTAGACCTAAGATCGGAAACGGAGGACAGTACCTGGCAACCAAACGACCAGGTCAACAAGGGGAAAGAGAAACGAGAGGATTCTCCCTCCGAGGAGGAGGAGAGCATGAAAGATGATGATATGAATCTGTGTAAGTCACTCACCTAGTCCCATGTTTGAATTCTTTTTTCCCCACATACCGTCCCACACACAATTTCTTGGCTGCACTACCCCCCCTGCTTCTCGTTATTGCACACACGAGCACACAACCCTCGGTCTAGAGCGAAAGGCGGTCTACATATCGACAAACGTCCTGGTGTGTCAAGATACTAGCACGAGAGACGTGGCATCAGAAGGATGTGTGTGGCAGTACATTAAGTCCACGTGAGACCCTGTCGAGTGACATGGGCAAGCTGTACCAGCTGCTAATCGGTGTTGCTACGAGGCGGTTATAGCCAAGAGCGTGTCCAAGTTCGAGAATGCGAGTTAGCAGTTGCTTACGATGCTGTGTTGATTGTTCGACTGTAACAGCACAAGGAGACCGGATTCTTTTATTACAAGCTCAGGTGGATGACGCCTACGTGAAGGGGAACATCACACTAGGAGCATCACTTCTGGCAAAACTTACGGAGATGATTGCCAGCGAACCGGCTAGCAACTACGCCCCTAGCGTACGAGACCAGGCCCCAATTCCGGACAGGCCTCACCAACCGCATGGGAGACGAATCACTCCACACCGACTGATTCAAGAGAACCTTTCTGACTTCTCCTCGAGCACCAGACAGGAACCCAGAGAAGTCCCACGGCCGGTCGACGGGAATCGACAAACCTTGCTGTCTAGAGCCGAACCCGCCTCAGGTTGGAACTATAACGGCAACACACAGGGTCGATCTCCTTCAACCATAGCAGAGGTCGCAACGACAAGACAATCGCCGGCAGTTGAACCAGCCGTTGGAGATGAAGCCGTCAGAGCGAAAGCTATGCTAGAATCAGGGAGAGGCCGGATGGTGTTAGCAAACGGAGATGTAATCGAGAATGGAAGATTGATGTTAAAAGACAAGACCAGACAGTTAGAGAAATCCTTACCTTCCCTCAGCCCAGTGTTAGCACACTACCTCCGAACCTTCAAGGCATACATCCCTTTACCCGTTTTCGACAAGCTCTGGTTAATCCGCGATCAACAAGCAAGAGAAGGAACGGAACCACCTTCTGAGTCAAAGTTGA